TCCACGGGGACGGGCTCCAGGAGCAGCCGCACCAGCGGGTAGTCCCTCTCCTCGTAGTAGGAGCCAAAAGTCTCGTCTGCGGGCAGAGGGCGCGTGAGCCTCGGGCTGCGAGCCCCAGGAGCGGGGCGGAGGAGAAAGGGACACCGTACCCTTGGCGATCCGCAGCTCGAGCCGCAGGGGGCCAGGCTGGGCCACAGAGGCGGGCGACACAGGCGGGAAGACAGCTGCCTGGAGGGGCAGGAAGTCGCTGCCATTGAAGATGCAGCGAACCTGAAGCCTGGAGTTCGGGCGAGAAGAGGGGGCTCAGGTCACACCGTGGACACGACAACAGGGCCCAGGCAGGCAGGTGAGCACCTGGGTTCGCTGGGGTGACGTGCACCCTGGCCCTCGCCTCTGCCCTCCTCGCCTTCCTGGGACAGCTCAGCCTGCCATGCCCAGCTGCCCTCCCCGTGCAGGGCCCAGCCGATGGAGGCCGGGCACGGGGCACAGGGCACAGGGCACGGGGCTGACAGGGGAGCCCCTCATTCTGGCATTTGAAGCTCCCTCATTGCCTGCCAGGCAAGCCTGGTGGGCAGACCTGGGCTTGAATCTTCTTAGCATGTACTTAGCATGCACTTAGCATGCACTGGCCACGGGACCCCCAGCAAACGGCTTAGCCTAAGCCTTCGTTACCTCGTTTGTAAAATGGCAATAGCCCCCTCCCCTCGAGGGCTGGGGTCGGATCAGTGAGGTGACAGGACGTGCCCAGTGTGGTCCTTGTCCCTGTCGTTGTAGCTGGTCCGTTGCTGGGTCTAGGGTCCCTCACCAGCTGAGTGCCCTGCACAGTCTTGGCAGGGCCACACCCAGCGCCCGGAGGTGTCTGCAAGAGTAGCTGACCCCCCCTCCAGCTCCTGACCGCCCCCCCAGCTCCCGAGTGCTCTATCTACCGCTACCTCCGCTTGAGACAGGGCCCTGGGTGCGAGACAGGGCCCTGGGTGCGAGCCTGCGCTTGGCTGGGGGGCCCTGGAGGAGACACCCTGCAGGCGGAGAGTGGCGGGGGGGCTGGTGCAAAGTAGGAGCTAACAGGTTCGTGATCCCGCCCTGACCTTAGGCCTTTGGTCCTGGAGCCTCCCACGGCCCCTGCTGGGCTGCGGCTGCTCCAGGGGGGCCCCTCCCCGAACCCCTGGCGCCGGGCTGGACGGACCCTGGCCAGCTCCCTCCCTCCTGTACCCACGGGCCTAACGCCTGACCGCTTGTCCCCCCCTCCCACCCCTTCGTCCTTAGGTGTCCCCTGAGGCCAGCACCGGGCCCCAGACCCACGGCAGCGGGTGGGGAGAAGACGCCCGGGCGTCCGTGTGGTGCCAGGCACTGAGCGCCTCCAGCCACAGGTAACGCGCTCGCTCTGGCAGGTAAAGGGGCCTTGGTGCCTGGCGCAGAGGCAGTGTGACCAGCAGATCCCCTGGGGCACCCCCACGGGCATCCTGGGCACGGGGTGGTTATGCCCCCGAGTCAGCAGGTCCTGTGCCCCTTTCACAGGGGGTTCTCCCTCGGCTCCTCTGCCCACCACCCCGACCGCCCGGCCCCAGGTCCCGCCTCCTCGGGGACTAACTCAGACAGGAGCGGCCACAGCCACAGCCCGGCTTCTTCCTGGGGCCGCAGGGGACCAGTGAGGGCCTCAGGGGGGCTGGGCCGAGGTCACACCACCCGGCGGCAGGGTTTGAACCTGAACCCCGAGGGCCCCAAATCCTGTCCTCAGCTCACCCACGCTCCCTTCACCCCGAGCCCACGTCCAGCCTCTGCGAGGGAGGCCGCCTCACCGGAAGCTGCCGTCCCGGGTGATGGCTCCCCGTGGTCCCACTTGGACATCGACGTCCGACACCAGCTGGTTCTCATAGATGAGCTGGTTGCCAACCACCTGTGGAGGAGACAGTGGGGTGAGCCCCTGCCCAGAGGCAGCCCGCCCGGGCCCACCTCCGCCATGCCCCCCGCGCCTGCCTGGATGGTGGTGCCGCAGTGGGTGAATGGGAAGCGGAAGACGACGAAGGCCCCCGTGTCCTGGGTGGGGGCGCAGCGGGTGGGGGCGTAGGCCAGGTGGACGTTGGCCAGCGTGACCCTGTGCGCCAAGGCCGTCTCTCGGGACACCACCAGGACGAAGTGGCCATCCCTGAAGCACTGGACCGTCGCTGGGACAAAGGCGGGTCAGAGACTGGTCAGGGCCTCGGGGTTTAGGTGTGTCCAGCACGGACGCGGGGCTGCTGGCCGAGGAGCGAGGACCCGGTTCTCTCCTCTCCATGGGGCCGTGCCAGCCGAGCCAGCCTTCCCAGACCCGGTTCTCACGCAGGGAACAAGCCACCGGTCGTACTATAGTCTGAGTGTAAGACCACCACCTAACTCATCCCCCTGGGGGGTTCTAGATCTGAAGCAAGGAGAACAGCCCGGCCAGCGTGGCTCAGGGGCTGAGTGTCGACCTAGGAACCCGGAGGTCTCGGTTCGATTCCCGGTCAGGGCACAGGCCCGGGTTGTGGGCTCAGACCCCAGTGTGGGGCGTGCAGGAGGCAGTCCATCAATGACTCTCCCTCATCATTGATGTTTCTTCTCTCTCCCTCTCGCTCCCTTCCTCTCTCTAAAATCAATTAAAGAATAAAAGATAATTTAAAAAGAGGAAGGGGAACATGCGCAGGTAGATCTGTTAGTGGGGAGTTCCCGGGGCACCTCCCGTCGAGAGGTCTGCTCTGCGGTCCATGCTGGGCTGGGCTCTCCGCGGAACAGGGTGGAGAAGGCCCTCCTATGGCTTCAGGATTCAGAGGATGGGACCCTGCTGGGCATGGAACGTGGTACCTGTGTTGCCATAGTAACAGGGAACATCCCTGGTGTTGTCATAGCAGCAGCCAGCCTGCTGACAGGCTTCCTTTGAGCTTCCTCGCGCCATGCAGGGGATGTGCCCCGAGTCCCCCCGACACTGCTCCGGGGTTGGACGGGTGCCTAGGGCCAGCGGCAGAGTGATGAGGTCATGAGGTCATGAGAAGGAGCCAGGGCAGAAGTTGCAGGGAAATGGAGGGAGCGGCTTCTTGAGCCCAGGAAAGGGCGATCGCCCCCCCCCCCCATAGGTCCCAGGGCTAAGCACACAGGGGAGTCCTACATACCGATGTCCTCCGGCTTGTCAGCTCCCCAGGCCACCTCCGTGGCCCCCTGGGCGCCGGCCCGGGTGGGGTGGGTGGGGCCCGATCCAAGGGCTGGGGAGGCAGGGGTTGGGGGGCTGACGCTGGGCTCAGTGGTGGGACTGAGCTCGCGGGTGTGCGGGGTGGAGAGTGAGAAGCTGGTGGATGGGACCAGCGGGCCATGGGCTGTCGTCCAGCTGTGGGCGGGTTTGGGACAGACCAGCGTGAGGTTTTGTGCCACGTCCACACGACCGTCAGGCAGCAGAGCTTCGATGAACACGCTCAGGTGGGCACGCCCGGCCTGCAGCGGAGAAGGCAAATGGGAGAGCAGCTGGGGGC